CAACATGGAACTACTCACTTGCTGATCAGAGCGGCGGCTCTGGCTGATAAGTCACCGGGAGTGCACATCGGTCGTACACGCATATAGTACCTATGGGGGGAACCAGAATGTCAGGATGGAAGCTGCAAGATCACTAAGAGTAATGTCTGCACAATATACAGTACAAGGTGACACTTGTGTTGCACAGCCAGCAGTGATTGGTGTCTGCACATCACCCCTGCTTTCCTCTAGATGGGCTCAGGGACCCCAGAAACAGAGCGCGCTTTCTTACACAAATACCAGCCAAGTTTGTATTTTGCCTCCTAATTGGTCTGTGTGGTTGCCCATCACAATAATGGACCAGTGACCAGTTTTTAGGTTCCAGCTATTAAACATACAGGTGAAACTCGAATAATTAGAATATCGTGCAAAAGTAATGGCAGTAAATGCTGCAAAAGGGGCCCAAACCAAGTACTGAGTACATATGCATGCTTGTACTTTTCAGAGGTCCGATATTGTTCTATGTACAATCCTTGTTTTATTGATTGCATGTAATAATCTACTTTTTTGAGGTTGTGGATTTGGGGTTCTTGGGGTTTTCATGAGCTGTAAGCCATAATCATCACAATGATGACAAATCACGGCTTGAATTATCTTGCTTTGCATGTAATGAGTCTCTCTCATATATTAGTTTCACCTTTTAAGTTGCATTAGTGAAATAAATTAACTTTTGCACGATATTCTAATTATTCGAGTTTCACCTGTAAGAGGCACATTACTTACTAAATCACAGCCCACAGGCAAAAGAAAGAAAGTTTCATGTGTAAACCCCAACAATGAACTTCTCTTATTTGCCTCATATCAATGTATCACAACACTGCTATCACCTGCTATAAAACACAACTGAAGCTGAAGTGAGCCCAAAAAATTTACCCCATCCATTTACTGAAAGACATAGAGGAGATCTTTAGATCTTGGTCATCGGGTTATAATGCCACCAGCAGGAGTAGACGCAACACACTAGTGTTCACTAGGCGCATAAAAGCATAGCCTAGGGGCAGCCCGTGCTGATGGGTAACCCCCCCCCCC